GAAAATGCATTAAATCGAGAAGTGTTAAATATTATGTTACCTGCGTGTTCTGCGTGGGCACCTGCAGCGCCAGCGCCATGCTGTTGGCGTCGAAGTTGTCGTCGAGCGCGATGAGCGCGCCGTGCACGCCGCTCTCCGACAAGTTGTTGGCGTATTCCTGCGCGATACAAGCCACGTGTCACTCCCACCACAGAATAATAATAAGTACTACGTACAGAAGTTTTACTTCGCGAAGAGTCAGGCACCATTTTGTTGACAAACGTCAGTGTTTAAATATTTTGACGTCACTTGTCCTTTGCAAAATAACTTACTGTACTGTTACAGTTCTGTACTTTAATAAAAACACGCGGTATGTGACGTCGCGATAAGACTAATTTCATACTTTGAAGAGTTCATAAGTTTGATTTAAATAATATTTGCTAGATCGGGGCTAGGGCTCCCCAACATTTTAGCTTAAATTACTGCAGCAGGGCTACTCCGAAACGCTGTTTATGTAGTTTCGGGTCTATTTGTCACCATCGCCCATGTTGGTATTCCGCTTTGCGTGAGCGGGAGGGCAATATTCGAAACTTCGGATAACGTTTTTCGGAGTCACCCCGCAGAATTTCGGATCCTTAAGGCGCAAGATTATGATGGGGACATAAGCACATTTATTAGATGAAAAGCACATAATTTGACTCATTGACGGTGAATTATTCACTCCAATCTATCCCAAAAAGGGGATCTCTGGGATTGAATAAACCATTTCCCCTTCATCTTCACTGCACGCCGCAGTGCAGCGCCGTCCTGTAGCGAGCCATCCCTAGCTACCTTCAGGTTGATGCAGGCGAGCCAGCGCTGCAGCCGCTCGTTGGTCCACACGAGCACGTCGCGCGCGGCGCCGTCCTGTAGCGAGCCATCCCTAGCTACCTTCAGGTTGATGCAGGCGAGCCAGCGCTGCAGCCGCTCGTTGGTCCACACGAGCACGTCGCGCGCGGCGCCGTCCTGTAGCGAGCCATCCCTAGCTACCTTCAGGTTGATGCAGGCGAGCCAGCGCTGCAGCCGCTCGTTGGTCCACACGAGCACGTCGCGCGCGGCGCCGTCCTGTAGCGAGCCATCCCTAGCTACCTTCAGGTTGATGCAGGCGAGCCAGCGCTGCAGCCGCTCGTTGGTCCACACGAGCACGTCGCGCGCGGCGCCGTCCTGTAGCGAGCCATCCCTAGCTACCTTCAGGTTGATGCAGGCGAGCCAGCGCTGCAGCCGCTCGTTGGTCCACACGAGCACGTCGCGCGCGGCGCCGTCCTGTAGCGAGCCATCCCTAGCTACCTTCAGGTTGATGCAGGCGAGCCAGCGCTGCAGCCGCTCGTTGGTCCACACGAGCACGTCGCGCGCGGCGCCGTCCTGTAGCGAGCCATCCCTAGCTACCTTCAGGTTGATGCAGGCGAGCCAGCGCTGCAGCCGCTCGTTGGTCCACACGAGCACGTCGCGCGCGGCGCCGTCCTGTAGCGAGCCATCCCTAGCTACCTTCAGGTTGATGCAGGCGAGCCAGCGCTGCAGCCGCTCGTTGGTCCACACGAGCACGTCGCGCGCGGCGCCGTCCTGTAGCGAGCCATCCCTAGCTACCTTCAGGTTGATGCAGGCGAGCCAGCGCTGCAGCCGCTCGTTGGTCCACACGAGCACGTCGCGCGCGGCGCCGTCCTGTAGCGAGCCATCCCTAGCTACCTTCAGGTTGATGCAGGCGAGCCAGCGCTGCAGCCGCTCGTTGGTCCACACGAGCACGTCGCGCACGGCGTGCTCGGCCGCGCGCCGCCGCTCCTCTAGCACGCGCACGCTGTACCCCACGCGCTTCAGGCACTGCACGCCGAAGTGGAGCGACGTCCTGCAACACAACACTCGTCAGTGAGACATTGCTCTCTATTGCTAGCTAACACTGCTAGTCTCCTCCATCAGTGGCGGCGTAGCATGGGTCGGCACCCAGGGCGATCACCGCCCTCCCCCCCGTCATAAGTCCTAAGGCACCCCCTAGGATTTACCGATTCAAAGACAATCCCCCCCCCCCCCCCCCCCTCCCGTATTCATGACATAGACCGCAGATTTGGCATGCAGATGCACCAGTGAGTACCTACTAATCTGCGCCACTTGTGTCACCCCCTAATGCTGGCGGATCAATAATGTTTCAACCACACCAACGCGTGCAAACCGCCATCACCGGCGCGATCATAGGGAAATGACAGGTCGCGTGAACTGTCATGGGTCGCACGAACTGTCATTGACCTTTGATCGGTCGGCGATGGCGTTCTGCACGCGTTGGTGTGGTTGAAATTTTAGTCATTCCTCTCACCCTGTTGTTATGTAAATTTTCGCCAGGCGCTCAGCGTTGGTTTTGCGGTTATGCTAAGCCAGTGCCGCAACGACACTGGCAAACACCGATGCTCGAAAGATGCTAATGTAGGGGTCCGTAAGCTACAATTAACAAGCATCACAAACGCAAATTCTTTATTTATGTGCACTAGTTAAATGGTTTAGAATTGTATTGTCACATAGCGCGAGAGTGCACAGCAGCGCAACAACTGTGTGTAATTTTAAATCACAAGTGTCTCCTTTTCCTGTTTATTAATAAGCGGGGACGATAATCGGTTTAGTATCATTAGATCGTCTTTTATTTTCTTAATTATTTACTCACCTGTGAAAACTGTCGACCATTTTGAGTTGCGTTCTTAAATCTCGTTTAGTTAAATGTTCTAACATTCTAGCGTCCACCAGACATTCCATAAACGTCGTCCTATATTGAGGTAATCCTGAAACAAATATGAAGCATAAAAATAATGTGATATTTCACTAATAATGCTTACTTATTACCCGACTGCGCCAAAGGAATTATTTACAATTATGTAATTGGATTGGGAGTGCAAAATTCTTGATCATTAATAGGGTAGTGGACACCTTAGCAACTCCTTATTTGATCTTTTTATCCATGTAGACGCGCCTCACCAACTTTTGGTCGAGGAAAGCACGCGGTGCGGGGAGTTTGATCCGAGCAATCCGAGCGTCATTATTGCAGTGTGTGTGTGTATACTTATGGATGATTTACTGTGTACCGATGACACTCAAACATTAGCGGAAGAATGGTGGGGCGCGTCTTCGTGGATGAAACTATCTATACAGTGTCATGAATTCAATTGAATTTAACAGCAAATTGAAAACTAACCCTAGGCGCAGACCACCGATTTTTCGTCGGCCGATAGTTTAGTCGGGCAGTTGATCAGTATAGGCATGTATGGAAGTGCGCACATTACATCGATTTGATTTGGCCGATTATTCATACAAATTAAAATCGGGCCCAACTATCGGCCAACTAAAAATCAGTGGTCTGCGCCTAGTCTTAATTTTAGAATAAATCGTCAGTTTGACATATTTCCCATATTGAAACTGTCAATGTGCCAGTTACACCAGGAGTTATTCTCGGTGTGGTGTACTACTACACAAATAAAGTGTGTGCGCTATGGCAACACTGACTAGTACGGCGCGGTGGGGAGTCAGTCGTAGTCGGGCCGCCACACGGGACGGACGTCAGTGCTTGCACTAGCTTACACAGTGAACATATATCAGTGTTTTATTTAAGACTAGCTTTCCGCCCGCGGCTTCGCCCGCGTGGAATTTTGTCTGTCACAGAAAAACTTTATCGCGCGCGTCCCTGTTTCAAAAACCGGGATAAAAACTATCCTATGTTCTTTCCCGGGACTCAAACTATCTCTATGCCAAATTTCATCAAAATCGGTTGCAAGGTTTAAGCGGGAAAGCGTAACAGACAGACAGACAGACAGACAGACAGAGTTACTTTCGCATTTATAATATTAGTTGGGATACCACACTCGGATAAAAGTTTGGTCGAATCTCAAACGAATCGGGCCTTATAAAATTAGGTGTTTTTATTATCGTAAGTGCCACTTGTGGTCTAAACTGAATAAATATTTTTGATTTTGGTTTGATTTGATATCTTATTTCTTACTAGCTGACCCGGCGAACTTTGTTCCGCCTTAATGGCAATAAATAAGCAGACTTTTTTTTATTTCGAACGGGATAAAAAGTATCCTATGTCCTTCTCCTGGCTCTAAACTACCTCCCTGACAATTTTCAGCTAAATCGGTTCAGCCGTTCTTGAGTTATAAGTGGAGTAACTAACACGACTTTCTTATAGATTGCATACTGGTTTGGACTATCAAATATAGTGGGTGCACTGACCTAGCGAGGGCAGCCACACGTTGCCGATCCACTCGTGGTTCATGTCCCCGAAGGCGAGCGCGGCGCAGGCGGTGCCGCGCGGCGCCGACGGTGACGTCAGCGACACCATCTCTTGGATCGCCAGCCGCAGCTTCAGCCGGTGCAGCGGGTTGCTTATGCCTGAGGACAGACGAATAGCCATTGGTCGTAAAGTCGTTTATAGTTCCAAAATACTGAACTGAATTGACAGTGGGGCGCCACTGTCAATACCGGATCGCTGGTTCCGATTTTTGCCATGTTGGAAACCTTATATTTATTTATTTATTGATAAAGGTACACCAACAGCAATACACATTTAAGACATTCACAGTATACAACACATATTAGGGTTTTAGTTTAAATATGTTTGCCAATTACAGGTATACACAACAATTTCCAAAACATTGCAGCTTATTAAATATATTATTTGTGTATACAAAACACTAGAATTTCACAACCAACGAGTCAAGCAATAAAGTTTTCCTATCACGAGTGTGTACTGAAAGGCTGAAAATGATTGTTTAATTTGGTTTTGAATTTGGTAGAGGAATCGTTGAAAATGTCAATATCTGGTATTATGTTTTTCGTTTCGTTGTACAGGTTACATATTCTGGCTATGGGATAGTGTACTCCAAGATTAGTCTTGTGCTTCGGTATGCTGAACAACTTGCGTATAGGGTATCGAGGATATCTGTGAGGGACATTGATTTTAATTTGGCCAAGAAGATTAGTGCTTTTAAGTTTGTTGCTTAAAATTTTGTGAAGGAACATAAGGTCTGCCTTCGCGCGTCGGTTCTTCAGAGTTGTCATTTCGAAGAATGATAGCCGTTGGTTGTAGGGGCTCCTGTGGGATATTTCGGTATGGTTGTAGATTAAGGGGTACACGAGGCATTCGAACAACTTAGAGAAGCACGACAATATTGATATCGGCCGGTAATTAGCGACATTAATTCTGTCGCCTTTTTTATAAATTGGTAAAATTCTGGCCTTTTTCCATTCATTTGGAAACATTCCATCACGTAAGGAACGATTAAATATTATCGTTAATGGAATGACCAGTGAGGCACCGCATCTTTTTACGAAAAAAGGTGGTATGTCATCTGGGCCGGGACCCTTTTTGGTATTTAGTAGTTTTATTTTTGCTAGGACGTGCGTCTCGGTTAATTGCAAGTTAGTAATGTGCTCATTAGTGCTCGTATCTGAGCTGAGAATATTGATGTTATTGGTAGTTGAGTATACCGAAGAAAAGTGGCTTGCAAATAAATTCGCTATCTCAAGCCCTGAGGACGCGGTCAAGCCATTCAGTTTCATTTCAGAGGGCAGAGCCGAGAGACCTTTGCGTTTATCTTTTATGAAACGCCAAAATTTATCAGGATTTCTACAAATGCTTGTTTCGATTTCCTTCATGTAGTTATTATGACAAATTACAGAAAGTTTATGACAACGTTCCCTAAGTAAATTGTATTCATATTTGTCTCTTAAGTTATTATATCTAATGTATCTTTTACGAGCTTTGTTCTTTTCACCAAGTAGTTTTATCATTTTTTTTGTAAACCATGGTGGAAAGTTGGACTGTTTTGATATATTTTTGGGTACATTATTGACAATTCCAGTTTTCAACCTCTCGTAAAACTCAGCAACAAGTTCGTTTACATCTATACAGTCTCTAAAAACAGCGTGCCAATCAGTACAACTCAAATCTAAGTTCAGTGACTCATAGTCTGCTTTATAAAAATTATACCTTTCACAGGACTTTGGTAACAAATTTGCAGCAGAGTCAGGTGCAAATGAAGAAGCTGTAATCAATAAGTGAGGGTGGTAAACATCCAACTTACTCAACAGATCTAGAGGTTGGGAGACATGTAAGGATTCAAAGTTGCTTAGGGCTAGATCAAGTATTCTCCCATCCGTGTTTTTGATTTGATTATGTTGGTAAAGGTTATTTATGGTTAAGAAATCCACCAGGCTATTACCCAGATCATTGTTGTAATTGTTAGGTGTCAAGTAATTACAGTTAGTGGTGAGGTCCCAGCTGATAAAGTTTAAATTAAAGTCACCCAGTACAATTACATTTTTGGTACGATTCATAACACTTTCTAAACTATTCAAAAAGCACTTCTGCACTTCCAATTTGGGTGGCGACGGCAGGTACACTGCGCAAAGTGAAAGAGACTCATATTTGTTGTTTATTTTAATTTTGATATTGACCCAGAGATCCTCACAGTTGGATTCCCAGTTTGACATTCGCATTGAAGGTAATTGTTTAGATACTGCTATTAACACGCCGCCGCCATCCTTCTTGGAGCTTGATGTGCTTGACCGATCCCTACGGTAAACTACATATCTAGAATCTATAAATTCACTGTCGGTTATGTTAGAGTTAAGCCAAGTCTCAGTGAAAACAATAATCATATAGTTATTCAATAGTATGTTTTTGTTCACTTCATTCGTCTTCGGCTTATAGTTGAACGATGGTAGCGCCCCCCTGTCATTGAGTTTGGGTGGGTCATCTATACCTGCAGGAACATGACCCTCAACATTGGGGGCTAGTTTTATCACTCACCAGCTGGCGCTACTGTACAGTAAGGTCCTGACACTTGCTAGTAATTAAGACAGTGGCACCAACTGGTGAATGCTGAAGCGGTAGGAAGACTATCGGATTTGCACTCACCAGGATGGCGCCACTGTAGAGTAAGGTCATTTCATTGGCCAGTGGTGCGAACTGTTAACTATTAAAACGATAGCCCTCATTTAGCATAGGATTTAATCTACCGACTACCTCAGGAATATGATGGCAGTGCAGTATGGCAGTAGATAAACGGAAGACTGTACTTTGTGGGTGAGGTTTACGTCCAGCAGCATAGTGGACTGACTAAATAATGGCATTTATCAGTAACAATCTGTTATTAACTGCCATTCCATTTACGAACGATTTGCAATCAGTATTCATTTTGAACTACCTTTATTTTCTTTTAATTATTGCGGATTCCAAAACAGTGAGCTATTCCCAGGGACTATGACATAATCTTTACTGGTTGGGTCCTATAACAGTTAGTTAATCCCCGGGACAAGCTTGATCTTCACTGATTGGGTCTTGTTGGCAGTAAAGCTGTAGATCCTGGCTACGCAGCAGTTGCAGCGGTGGGAACGAGATGCGTCATTAGTCCTGTCACTCTCCCACTGTCGCTCACCTATCTCCCGCTGGATCTCCTGGTCGGACAGCGCGGACATGATGGCGCCGGACTTGACGTTGGCGCGGCAGGCCGCCACGTACCAGGCCGGCCTGCCGCCCCCAGGTGACCCCCCACTGTCGCTCACCTATCTCCCGCTGGATCTCCTGGTCGGACAGCGCGGACATGATGGCGCCGGACTTGACGTTGGCGCGGCAGGCCGCCACGTACCAGGCCGGCCTGCCGCCCCCAGGTGACCCCCCACTGTCGCTCACCTATCTCCCGCTGGATCTCCTGGTCGGACAGCGCGGACATGATGGCGCCGGACTTGACGTTGGCGCGGCAGGCCGCCACGTACCAGGCCGGCCTGCCGCCCCCAGGTGACCCCCCACTGTCGCTCACCTATCTCCCGCTGGATCTCCTGGTCGGACAGCGCGGACATGATGGCGCCGGACTTGACGTTGGCGCGGCAGGCCGCCACGTACCAGGCCGGCCTGCCGCCCCCAGGTGACCCCCCACTGTCGCTCACCTATCTCCCGCTGGATCTCCTGGTCGGACAGCGCGGACATGATGGCGCCGGACTTGACGTTGGCGCGGCAGGCCGCCACGTACCAGGCCGGCCTGCCGCCCCCAGGTGACCCCCCACTGTCGCTCACCTATCTCCCGCTGGATCTCCTGGTCGGACAGCGCGGACATGATGGCGCCGGACTTGACGTTGGCGCGGCAGGCCGCCACGTACCAGGCCGGCCTGCCGCCCCCAGGTGACCCCCCACTGTCGCTCACCTATCTCCCGCTGGATCTCCTGGTCGGACAGCGCGGACATGATGGCGCCGGACTTGACGTTGGCGCGGCAGGCCGCCACGTACCAGGCCGGCCTGCCGCCCCCAGGTGACCCCCCACTGTCGCTCACCTATCTCCCGCTGGATCTCCTGGTCGGACAGCGCGGACATGATGGCGCCGGACTTGACGTTGGCGCGGCAGGCCGCCACGTACCAGGCCGGCATGCCGACCCACAGTTCGAGCCACGCCACCACGGTGGGCCCGTTCCATAGCGCGAAGGGCGTGCCTGCACGCATCGCCTCGCCTAGGAGCTCGTGCCGGTAGTCCCTTTCTCTGCGGAAGAGAAATGGTGAATTTAAGAATAACAAGAATAAGAATACTTTATTCAGCATAGAAAAATAAAATAAAAATACAGTACATATAACATTAAACTACAAGCTATGCTGAAGAGGCGTCCGCTCAGCTATATTCGCGACATAACAAGCGCCATGTCGAGAAGCTGGTTTTCAGCGGGAACCAACACGATGAAGATTGCGGATTGCGCGCCCTCTTGACCGGGACCATATTGAGGCTACCAGTCAAGAAGGCGCGCAACAGGGGGCTTTATGGACGGTGATCACAAAAAAGAGAGAGAGAAAAAAAACAAAACAAAAAAAACAAAACAATAATTTGATATGTCAAAAATTTGATAAGGTTTCGACATTCTTGCTCTTAAATTTGTTTGTGTCGGCCAGTAGGTCTGGGATATAAGGATCCGACACTCGCTCCTAATATTTATTTATTCGGCTAATAGGCCTGGGATACGCGCCACGATAAACTTTTATCGAAACATATCGATTTTGCACAAGAAGCTCATACATTTGTCGTCTAAAATCATCGATAAGTTTGTATCACAACGCACATCCTAGCCCAGCTGACCTATGAAGTTCAGTGTTTTCACGGTTCAACCTTGTTTTCTCACACAAGATAGATAGTTACTAGATAGGTATGCGTGAATTCTAACCAAATATTTCCGAGATTATTTCAAGTGCCTCTAGGATAGTAGAATGTAAATTGCAATACCTCTATGGCATCAACTAGTGGCATGGTGACAACTTGAGGAATTGGTGGAGTATTAACCTCTCATGTACCTTAGCACGATCAACATGCGTACAGCGCCCCTAGCGGCTATTTTCAAGAACCATCTTCATAGATTTTTTGACGTAATCGCTAGCGAGCACACCTAACGTAAAGTCATGGTAAGCACACAGGACGAGGCACAAACTACTTTCCCATTGTCTGGAATCTCAGCATTCGACAAGATTTCAAAAGGTAAGATTAGAATACTAACTTTGTCTTCGAGCGCGCGTAGTCTTGATGTTGCAGTGGCGCGAGGTCAGGCGCAGGTTCGTCTCCCAGCGACGACAGCCCGAGCGACGACGCCGACGACAGCGACCGAGCGCCACCGGTCTGTTGCATCTGGACACGAAATTCAAAATGAAGTTACGATTGTCAACATAATTTAAACTTTTACAGGGATTTGGAACCAACTCTGATCAACCATCAAACAACCCAAGACAGACTGTCTCGGTGCCTTAGAGAGCTTATAGACGAGCGACATTATGTCGGCGACAGGTTGCGATAGTGGGAGGCGACTGTAAGCGGCTGTCGGCGACATCTACGACTCGCGTCTTTCGCTGTCATGACATGTTGACACTCTGACTATAATGTTAGTGAAGAGGCCTGTCTTCGAAAGTCACGATGCATCGGCGACTGTCAGTGACCAACGGCGGTATTTACGATGCTTCGCTGTCGTCGGCGATTATCGACGACTGTCGCAGACTAAAGTTGCAAGTTGTCGTTTATGAGCTCAACTATAAATGAAACATAAAAGCAGATTGTCAATATTTTATCTACACTCACCGGTAATCCAGCCTTTTCTTTCTTACTAAAGAACCTTCCTAACGAGCTCTTGATGCCCCGCTTCTTCTGCTGGTGCATAGAAGCGATGGAGACGGCCGAGGCGGCCGCCGCCACGCCCCGCGGCAGCCCCGGCGACGCCCCGCCGCCGCCGCCGCCCCAGCCGCTCGTGGTTAGCCCGCCTAACGACTCTTGACTTGAGCTAGAAGGACAATATGAGGTTAAAATGTCAGAGTAAAGCAATTTTTAGGCACAGTCAGCGTCAAATAGTTCGTGGCACCGAAAGTAGCAAAAATCTTCGCTACAAGTCCATGTTACAACTGGAATAAGGTTGTATTGTCAACTTTTTGGCCTCTTTGGGCGTCACAAACTATTTGACGCTGAAGACATGTTGACACCACCAATCAATTGACGTACTTTTTAAAACTGTCAAAACGAAACTCTCCCATTGATTTTGTATGGCACTACAAGCAAGTGACGTCATTATTTTATTAACTCAATTAAACTACTTTTTTCAATTACAATGCGAACAAAAATCGTAATTTACAGGTAATTTAAAATTAATTAAGTTTTTAAGACCAGAATGAAGGGTCTTTTTAAAAAAGTTGTGGTTTCGAATTATTGGAGTATGGTGTCAAACTGTCTATTGTGCATGGGCGTTAGACATTGGCATGAAACTGCGTAGGCACAGATATGCACCGGCGAAGTCTCATACAAATATCAAAACAACGATTTTTTAATTAGGTTGGTGCAAACACTTCCAAAAACAATGACGTACGAGTATGTATGAATGATGATGGCACAAAATTATATCCTTAGCCAACAGATGAGACATACGTTACGATGAATTTAGCTCCATGTAACTTAGCTGGACATAGACTGACACGTAAGCACAAATGAACATTACAACACAAGTGAGAAGATAATATGTGCAAAATTGAATCCTCATTTTTTTTATGTGTCAGCTCTTTACAATTTATGTCACTAAAATGGAATTACTGTGGATCATTAGCCGTGGGCTCTACGAGTCTAATGGATAGGGTCACACAAAATGAAAGTCCAACATACCGCGATACTCCATAAGATCGAAGGGGACCGCAAATGAAGGCACAACCCTTAGTAATTCCATTTTATTAATAAAAAATTAGAAATAAAATTTGTGACAAAATATAACATTAATAATAAGCTTTTGTGAATTGCAAAATTTATAAAATATTTTTAAGCTAGTAGCCACCAACAAAATAGATTTAGATAAATAGGAATTCGTTGCAATGATTATTTAAATCGAAGGTATTATTTTTTCTTTCAGATGTAACTCCCAGATTTAACAAGACAAGGGTGGTGAAACAAATAGTTATCGATCATCTTGTACAAGTTGGATTTAAGGCACAATCTATGGGGCACATAGTTAAATACAGTGTCTGGGCAGTCACACCATACATTGGCCAAATTAACCTCGGACAAAGATATAGGTTTTGATGAATAGGATAGTGGTCTGGCGGTGGTCATTGGATTGGCAGAGAAAGACAACCGTCTGTGTGAGAGAGACAGCAGGTTAGTAGGTGGTAGTATGCGATTGGAAGGACCAGGAATTGGATCCGTTTGGCGTAGCATATGAGTAGTGGAATGGGACATCGGTTGAAGAGTATTTGTAGAGTGAAAAATTGGTTTTGGGATATGTGTCATAGAATTACTAGGACCAGATACTGGTTGATTAGGTAAATGTCTTAAGTTGGGATTGGAAGCATGGGATATAAGGATGGTCGGGAGTGATTTTGTATTTGTGGGATGAGACATGAGATTGGTAGGATGTGACATACGATTGTTGGGTGGAGTTATTGTATTGGGGGCGTGGCTTAATGTGTTTGTGGAATATGACGTTCTGATAACGGGGTGAGCCGTTAGATTGTAACTATGCGTTCTGTTAGAGGCATGCAATGTCGCATTGGTAGGATAAGACACTGGATTATTAGGGCGAGTTATTGTACTATGAGGCATATGATTAGTTGGTATATGTTGGAGATTCGTCGCGTTTGTAGAATAAGACATTGGGTTACTGGGATGAGTCATTGTATTTGGCATATGGTTAGTTGGTATATGTTGGAGGGCTGTAACGTCTATTGAGTTGGTGGCTACAGGTGTAAAGTGAGAGCCAGGTGTCCACCTGTGGATCGGGAACCGCGCGAGGCTCCCCGACATCATTGAAGTCCTGGCAGCGTGAAAGAGAATTCATTAGTATGTTAGTAATGAGACAAAACTTTCAAATAGTATTGAGGTAAATTAGTGAAAAGGTATTAGTAGTTTGTCGAGCGAAATTAAAAACTTCTTAGAATAGTCCTAAATAAGCAGATAGCACATGGCCGTACGATTGAATTACATAGGTAAACAAAATTCGTGCGTTATTAACCGCATATTATTATGATGCCCTTTTTGGTCACTATTGACTAAACGAGTTATTGAAACTTATTTTTATGTGCCAGGAGGCAAAAGAGCAGACGGATCACCTGATGGTAAGTGATTACCGTCGCCCGTAGACACCCGCAGTCCCAGGGGCGTTACAGGTGCATTGCCGGCCTTTAAGGTGAAGATACGCTCTCGTCTTAACCACTTAGCCTGTCTAAAGCCTGGTACGTGAGCACGTAGAATCCCGTCCAATGACCCCAAGCTACCCATTCTTATCGCTCGCGCGTAATTATATTGCTGTCGCGACTGTGCGACGGGCGCCCCCAGTGAGTGTGAGAGCACGACAGCAACATAATTACGTGCGAGCGACAAGGATGGGCAGCTTGGGGTCATTGGACGGGATTCTACGTGCTCACGGACCAGGCTTTAGTAGCACATAGAAGTCTTTGTATAACAATTTCCTATGTCCATAAACGGCTGTAAATCAGCAAATAAAGAAAATAATAGTCAATCACACAAACAACTCACGAGTCATAAGGCGGCTGGTAGTGCGTCCTGCTCAGTCGGTCGCGCTCGGCGTGCAACGCGCGCGCCGCACGCTCTAGTCGTAGCGAACGCGCGGTCAGCGGAGACTCCGCCCCTTCGGCGCCGGCGGGGCCCGCGGGGCCCGCCCCCATGCCCGCACCTTCTTCGCACAACTGTAACTGTACGATGATATAATCAATATAATTTGTTAATTGTGAAAAATCTAAAACGTTAAAACGGTATCGTTATAGCCAATGAGCTGTTGTCATAGTGACAATGTCACACTAGGATCAAACGTTAGAATTTTGTGCTAAGTGATGAATTGTATTTAAACTAATGCAATACAGGGTGGAATTTTGTAATGCCACCTGGAGGGAAAGTACTCTTAATACTGTAGATAGAAAATTTTACTCAAAGAAAACATTCCTTTATTTTTGAAAAGAAAGTGAACTGCATTAAAGGATTTTCGAAAATTTTTCGAAAATTCACTACCATACCATAAAAATTTTCTGTACATTAATTAAAATAATTTAAGATTTCATGGTTTCCCTTTCATTTGATTTATCAAGTTTGTTAGAGAGATTTCATCCTTATACTTAATCCTAACGATCGATGTAATAAAAATACAGGGTGTAAATTTTAACATATTTTAGTTGGTTCGATTCCCGGGTGTGGCAAGCAAATTTTTGGAAATCTTTGAATGCAGTTCTATTTCTTTAAAAAAATAAACGAATGTTTTATTTGCGAAAAATGTTCTATCTACAATATTAAGAGTACTTTCCCTCCAGGTGGCATTACAAAATTCCACCCTGTATAGTGTGAATGTTGAGTATTTAGTGTTTTATTTATGGGAATGGATCTACCGGCCTTAAATTGGAATTTGATCATCACTTTCCATCAGGTGAGATGGCGGCCAAGAGCTTCGTTTAAGTGGATAAAAAAAAATACTTTTAGACCTTTTAGAGGCGTTGCTTATTACTCTGATCTGCAGAGAGCAGAGAGAGATTCTGCATTTTTCAATTTGCATTTTGCATGCGCAATAAATGTGAGCTTATCTGATATCATTAATACAAAAGAAATCGCTTAAGTTAACTAGAAAGTACTAGACATGTTTCACAATATTCAACACTACAGATTTTTTAAAATATTATTTACATTATGATTTATAGATACTCCAATCCAAATTACAAAAATCTTCATAATAATCTCCAATAGATCTTGACTACTTCAAGATATGTTTCATTTCTAAATGTAGGTAGTTATTGTAGGTCCAAAAATAATAGGTTTTCATGCTATACAGGTGCTAAAATACACAAAGAGTAATAATAAAATACATAACTATACTATTCAAAGAAGTTCGATCAATAAACCATAGCTAAAAGTTAGTCTATCCTTGATCTACTTTCTAAAGACTAAATTAATTGGTTCGCCACAAATTATTTCAATTGATGCTTTAGTTTTAAAGATGTCTACTCACTTTTAGCTGTGGAAATAGTATGATTAATCATGTATCAGTTATCGGTACGTTTAAAATACATTTAATTCATAACAGTTTAGGTTTTACATTATTTTTGCTGTTTAAGCATTGTCTAACTACTTGGCAAAAGCAACAAAGTGCTTCACAATCAATATTCAATTTCTATATAAATAAATACATTAAGCGTAGGTATTAATATAATTCTATGAAGCAGTGGGTACAATTTTAGTTTGAAGAGTTTGTTTTGGCAAAAAAATAATCATGCTTCAGCTTTCAGTTCATATGTTTTCACGGTTTACGTTTAAAAACGCTTATAAGGTAGTGTAAATAAAAACTAAAATTGGTGGTACAGTATTGGTTTGCTTGGTCTAACTAAATAATAACACAGTTTTACTTTGGATATCTTAAAAGCTAAAGCTAAGCGTATTTTTATTCTTGAACTAACATAATTTGTTAACTATCTTAATGGCTAGTACAAACTTTCAGCAAAATAAGTAGATTCAGCCAGCGCAACACTAACAAAATTTGTGCAATACATAGTTGTTTTTACCTTTCCCAGTCATTTATAGTTTATTATCTGTTTAGGACCTTTTCCAATTTGTTGTTTCATTCTTTGCTTCGAATAGCTTCTCTAAGGTTTTCTTGTTAAAAGGTTAAGAATCTGTAAAATCTGTTTGATGTAACGTCTCTATGCTCAAACTTGGTTCAAGCTCAAGAGCAGACTCAATCATTAGTTAAATATTTAGGCAACCACTGCCTTGAAACTACTCTTGACTGTCTAGACAGGCTTGTGATGTCTAGACTTGCAATTGACGATTTGCAACGACGCTGGTAGGGCAAAAAAAGAATGAGACATGTATAGGCTCCTTAAGAGCATTTGATGATTTGTAAGTACTAATTTAATTAGTCTAAACAAATAAAGATAATTTTGATTTTGATGACGACTAATTTAGTTAGTTCAAAACTTCAAATATAATAGGAAGACACGGGTAATTTATGAATGAGTTACATTATGTACTCACGGCTTGACGTTTCGGCTGTTATGCTGCAGCCGTGGTCACAAAAAGCTAAAGGATTGTAATGGAACGCTAAAGTTTAAAATCTTATAGTCCAAAGAAATTTTTGATTTCGCATTTGTATTCCTGGGAAAGGTATTGGCAGACGTGTCGAGTGCGACCGACCTGGCTGGAGGGCAGGCTTTCGGAGGAGGGCGGCGGCCGGTACACCGCGTGTCCGGGCGACATCGACGCCGGCGCCTGCCACCATACACGCACGCTTATATTACTACCTGTCTCTTTCACTCGGCTTAGGGTTAAAGGGTGATAGAGCAAGATGCATAATGCAACCGATAAACTGTCAATTAATCCAGAGTTTGAGGGCCAGATTCCAATGGCGAGGTCATTGTGCAATATTAGTTTTTTTATCTTGCTTGGGATACTGGTATAAGTGAAAAATACAAGCAAACAGAACAGTGTCTTTCTAAGACACGATAAGAGTGAAAGATTTAATATTAAATATCTTATTCTTATAGAACTAAATCACAATCCCATCATGAGCTATCTATAAAAGAATGAGCTGAATGGATGCTTGATGTAATTTACACAACAAATTATAATGTAGGTGTACTTGTACATTATTCATTATCACATAAGACAATGTCTAATTTATATTTTAAATTAATTTAAAAATCTGATAAATAACAAACAGTTATTTCAATCAAAACCATAACCTTTACCAACAAATAACAAGAGAACGCAGAACTGCTAAAATAGACAGTTTGACACCATACCCCAATAATTCGAAACCACAACTTTTTTAAAAATACCCTTCATTCTGGTGTTAAAAACTTAATTAATTTTAAATTAACTGTAAATTACGATTGTTGGTCGCATTGTAATTGAAAAAAGTAGTTTAATTGAGTTGACAAAATAGTGACGTCACTTGCTTGTAGTGCCATACAAAATCTATGGGAGAGTTTCGTTTTGACAGTTTTAAAAAGTACGTCAATTGACTGGTGGTGTCAACATGTCTATGTGTGGCAGTGGGCGGGGCATATAACTCATAGAGCTGATGGCCGCTGGGGCAGAAAAGTCTCGAACGGCAACCACGGGACGGAAGACGTAGTGTGGGCAGGCCTCAACGATCTGGTGAAAGTCGCTGGAAGAACCTGAATGCAAGCAGCGTAGGACCGGTGGTTATGGAAATCCTTGGGGAGGCTTTTAAGTCCAGCAGTGGAGTTATTGGGCTGAAACGAAGCAACAATCAACTTAAAGAACCAACAATTTCCCCCATAGCTTACCGTGTGGTACTTGTGGTGCGACGCGTGGTGCGGATGAGGCGGGTGCGGCAGCGGGTGCGGACGCGACGGCGAGGCGGCCAGCGGCGGCGACTCGCCGCGCCGCGACACCACGTTCATATGCTCGTAGCTGCCCACCTGATGTTAATGTTGTTACATTAGTATCCTTCTTCTTATCGTGTCGACAACAATTACAACAAACCTAGTCTTGTCTGCGAACACTGCTGTCGCGCTCGCACAGTCGCGACAACAATACAGGGTGTTAGGTGTATGCGAGTCATTTCTACTAGTACCTTAATATGTAAGTCTAGATATTAGCACGTCACTACCTTGTTTAATATACCACGCAATCTTGTATACCCATTCTTATGATACACCATACAAGAATACATGGTAAATTCAGTGAACTGCTCCTGAATCGAATGTACCTACTACTGCTATTTCTATTTATTTATATTAACCGGCAGACAGTGGTGACTGAGTTTGTTGCGGCGCTTCTTCTCAGCACTTGCCAAATGTTGGTCTCGAAGCGCTGGTAGGGTAAAAAGATTATGAGACATGTAGAGGCTCCTTAAGAGCAAAATGACGATTTGTAAGAACTATTTATTAGTCTAAACAAATAAAGAAATTTTGACTTTGACTTTGAAAATGGGTATATAAGCCGACACTAGCCCATGTTAACATGGTCATATAAATGGTATGGTGAAGTCAGAAAATTGATATCTTCATTTTAATTATTTTAATTTTCATACAAATCGGATTTTATAAAATTTATTTTGTGTATGAATATTAAAAAAATTAAAATGAAGATATCAAATTTCTGACTTCACCATACCATTTATATGACCATGTTAACATGGGCTAGTGTCGGCTCATATACTCATTTACCTAACACCCTGTATAATGAGGGCTATCGTTTTTATACTTAACAGTTGGCACCCCTGGCGATTGACAGGACCTTACTCTACAGTGGCGCCATCTTGACGAGTGCAAATGCGATAGTCCTCCTACCACTTTCGCGCTCACCAGTTGGTGTCACTGTCTTCGCTACTAGCAAGTGACAGGACCTTACTCTACAGTGGCGCTAACTGGTGAGCGCTAAAACGATAGCCCTCATTACGCGCGAGCGATAAGGATGGGTACCTTGGGGTCATTGGACAAAATTCTACGTGCTCGCAGACCAGACTATACACAGTGACAGCCCAAAACTCCGCTAGAAGAGTGGCGTTGTCAGCAGCATTCATAATGTATCCGTTACACGTTGGTTACTAAATCAATCATTTAATCGCTAAGCCTAAATGGGTAACATGATGTACTGGATAATATGATAACCAAACCTTGTAAACATTCATGAAAGGCAATAAACACATTCTGACTTCGACTTTTGACATTAAATCCTGCGTGCAGCTCGGGTTTACACTGGCTTTTGACAAACTTGACCTTCATTGGTTGGGGTTTTATTGGCGGTCAAGCTGTAGATCCTGGCTACACGGGAGTTGTAGCGGTGGGAATAGTCCCGTGGCTTTTGCCACGTCTTCACCCGTGTCAAATGGAGTTTGATTAGACTCGTATTCATTTGAGCAGCCTCTTCTACAGAAGCAGACTGCGGCTGCTCATGTGGATACGAGGCTTGAGGCAGTTGGTAACACTGAGCGCGCAAAATCGTTAAAATCTGCCTCAGTCCACAGCGAGTCGTCTGTCGTATCGTATATCAGGTTGAGACAGCGTCTCTATTTAAGCGGAGCCTGCTTGCCTCTAGTGGAGATCCAGCTTTTCACTATTGAAACTGAATCTTGTGAATATTATTATATTTTACAGCACAAAAATGTTAAAATATACCTAAATACTTTGTATTGGATATGTAGACCTGTCTTTAAATCATATCATACCCGTCACCAAATCAGTATCTATTCATCTTATAAAATTAAGAAAACTATAATTTCACAGGTTTTAAACGTTTACTAACATCCAATTCAAGCGAAGAGTAGGGGCAGCCTAGCTGTGGCTTGAACGGCCAGTCTGTAGACTGCCAGAACTGCCATCTGGCGTGACAGGCGCTAAACAAACATCCTTACAATTTTATTGAAATGTATCAAATAATTTGTCAATTTAGGAAACTTTCAACAATACGTTCTGGAGTGGAGGCTGAATATTGGTAAGTGTAACATGAAATGTCTTCCAGATCATAGGGCAAAGAATATGAAATGTAGTTGATAGAGTTGAACATAAAGATCGGAGCTGAGCTGAGCTAAGCTTCAGATCGGACTCAAAAGTGTGTATTGCTGGAGACCCGTCGCAGTCTAAGGTATGCTGATGATTTATTAGTCAAGCTCCTGTAACAGGACTATTTCACCTGTTGGGGTACGTTGGTTATCAGCTAGTTTTGGTGGTGTATTTCTCCTGTTGGGTCACGGAGACTATCAGCCCCATAAACAGGCCCTGTCAGGAAGCGTACCCGGGACTCGAGCTCCTCGGCGCGCGCCTCGGTGGACTGCTTCTCCTCCTGGATGAGGCGGATCTCAGTGTTGATGGCGTCGAGCTGCTCCTGCAGCATGAGCGCCAGGGCGGCCGCGTCCGTGTGCCCGCCTTCGACGCCGCCGTCCGACTCGTCGTTCTGTAGTACGAAAATATTATTAGGCTGCTTGTACTATCGCCAACAGTGTTAACTGCCCATTGAAAGTCATGTCATCTCGTTCTATCGCAAAGAATCGCCATTTGATTAGAGCGAGAGCAAAAACGGAAATGGATAGTTAACCCTTAACTGGTATCGTAAATTGGACATACGTAACTGGTATCGTGGGGGCCGCGCGGCCCCCATACTATGTTTGCTTCTAGCAAGCATGTTTTACCTATATACTTGAATAAATGCTCATAAATGATATACAGGGTGTTTGGCGCATCGTGTGCCAAAATAATTTGGCGGATAGAATGGGTCATTTCCTATATTTTCAGCCCCCATAACACGTTCCATGCCAGGCGGCTACTTTTAAATTAATTTTTTTAGTAATTTCACCAGAATACCCAAATCGCATCATTTAATTTCGATTTAAAAAAAAACTACTAGGCGTAGCTTCAAAGTAAATATTTTATTTTGACGTGCATTGATGTAGGGTTGCATCAAATCTAAATTTATTGGCAAATATCATCTAGGTTTTTTTTAATTCAACTTTGAAGTTTTCCGAAAAGTTAAAAATGGACTGAACAATTAAGTTTACATGGCTATAAAAAAATAAATAAAAGAGATAGCAATCTTCGGATTTTATCAAAACTTCTCTAGTCTATCCCCATTCAAATGGTATACTAATCTTGTTTAAATAATAACAACAACTTCACAAATTCCTTAAATTAGTGCATTGACTCTACTCGGACTGATTTGCGAAATTTGTGTTTATAGCCCCTTTTTGTGTGAATAGCACGTTATTAAACACCTAGCAGGTAAAAAATATTTATCTTATGCAATGTAAAAACCTTTTCCCTATCGTTTTTTAATGTGGATTTCTTGAATTTAAGGACGAAAATAATTATTTTGATCGTTTATTAATTATTATTACAAATTTAGTTCAAAATGTCCGCCTCGGCAACGTATACAGTCACGACATCTTCTTCTAATTTCGACTGTTGTCGTATGCAGCCACATTTATTTTTTTATTACTACAAAGGCGTTTTTTATTCGTTGTTGTAGTTCTTCTATTGTTTGAATCCGTTACGTACACCAGTTCTTTAGCTCGTCCCCAGACGTAAAAATCTAACGGAATTAGGTCTGGGGAACGTGCAGGCCACTGTATAGGGCCATCTCTTCTAATCCACGAGTAGAAAACGCCTTTGTAGTAATAAAAAGAGAAATATGGCTGCATACGACAACAGTCAAAATTAGAAGAAGATGTCGTGAGTGTATACGTTGCCGAGGCGGTCATTTTGAACAAAATTTGTAATAATTAATAAACGATCAAAATAATTTTTTTTTGTCTTTAATTTCACGAAATCCCCATTGAAAAACGATAGGGAAAAGGTTTTTACATTGCATAAGATAAATAATTTTTACCTGTTAGGTGTTTAATAACGTGCTATTCACACAAAAAGGGGCTATAAACACAAATTTCGCAAATCAGTTCGAGTAGAGTCAATGCACTAATTTAAGGAATTTGTGAAGTTATTATTATTATTTAAATAAGATTAGTATACCGTTTGAATGGGGATAGACTAGAGAAGTTTTGATAAAATCCGAAGATCGCTATCTCTTTTATTTATTTTTTTAAAGCCATGTAAACTTAAATGTTCAGTCCATTTTTAACTTTTCGGAAAACTTCAAAGCTGAATTAAAAAGAAACTAGATAATATTTGCCAGTAAATTTAGATTTGATGCAACCCTACATCAATTCACGTCAAAACAAAATATTTACTTTGAGGCTACGCTTAGTAGTTTTTTTTTTAATCGAAATTAAATGATGCGATTTGGGTATTTTGGTGAAATTACTAAAAAAAAATAATATAAAAGTAGCCGCCTGGCATGGAACGTGTTATGGGGGCTGAAAATATAGGAAATGACCCATTCTATCTGCCAAATCATTTTGGCACACGATGCGCCAAACACCCTGTATATCAGGCTTTTTCTATGTAATTATTTAGTTTTTATTGTAATTAATCTTCTTACTTATATACTTCAAGACATTACATAATAGTAACAACTTTTTACGTAATATTTTTTTAACGTTACAAATATCTATGAAACCTTCGTTCAGAAAGTTATAATCAAAAATATTATTATTTTAATTAATCCATAATAATGTGAACTTAATAATAAATAAAGTTTTAATGTAATGTTTCATAAAAATAATAAGCATTTTATAAAAATAAAAACATAAATATTATGTTGACAAACATTAGCAGGTGCTGGTGGATTTTCAGACCACTTGTATTTATTTTTTCATAGTAGCTGGATTGGCTAGGTCCTACAACATCTTCATTTTCACTCTCTGAAGAAAAAACTTGAAAATCAGAATCAATATCCTCATTATCGACCGAATATTGGTTGTTGGGTCTTCACAATGACCTATAATTTTATTATCACTATATCCTTCTTCTGACATGCTACTAATCACTAATTTGGAGTCAAAAACTTCGTTCTAGGTATCTTTATTGTTTTATCACTAATAAGCCATAAATACTGCAAGAAAACAAAAAACAAATAAAAATTGCCATGAAAAAAAAACTAACGTAACTGGTATTGTGGGGGCCGCGCGGACCCCAACACGTGCATATCTTCGTCCTGGTGAATGATACAGTGCTGAAACGCCTGCACCAGACGCGAGTAGCACCGAAATGAGAATACCAAAAATTTTGGCTGCCCACGATGCGTAGCTTCTTAGAAATCAAAGAAAACGTCATGCGTGGGGGCCGCGCGGCCCCCACGATACCAGTTAAGGGTTAACAGTGTGGGCGTGTGTACATGCTACGTAAGAAAAGTCGCCGGGCTTTTTCAAGAATTCGTGTCGTTTCTACACACGAAGCGTGTACATTGCTTCGGCACTGACCAAGAAATAATTATTGTCTGCACTAGATTCGACATGCGGCGGATGCGCACTGTGTGACAAATTTTCGTAGCTAGGTCCGTCGAAATTCTTGCCTTGTCTGCGGCAGACACGGTGAAATTTCTTAGCGTGTACAAGAAGCCTAAAGGTATAGATACACATGTTCATTACAAGCACGAAAGTTGAAACATTGCGTAATAAGTATGTTAATTTCGAGTTGTTCAAGCACGCCTGTTTTAAGTATGACATTTTATGTTCATGCAGTCCAGTGGCTTGATCATGAGCAAAGCCACCAGAATTTAGTGCAAAGTAACTAAATAACAACGTACCTCCGCGTCGCTGGACACGTCGAAGGGTTGCTGCGAGGCCAGCGCATGCGCCTGCTGCAGCTGCTCCCACGAGCCGTCCAGCTGTAGGGAAGCAAACATAACTACAATATTTAGACATGTTGACACCACCAGTCAATTGACGTACTTTTTAAAACTGTCAAAACGAAACTCCCCCATAGATTTTGTATGGCACTACAAGCAAGTGACGTCACTAATTTGTCAACTCAATTAAACTACTTTTTTCAATTACAATGCGAACAAAAATCATAATTTACAGGTAATTTAAAATGAATTAAGTTTTTAAGACTAGAATGAAGGGTCTTTTTAAAACAGTTGTGGTTTCGAATTATTGGGGTATGGTGTCAAACTGTCTATTAAGATATTATACATTATGTACAAGTCTCAACTGTCTATCCGTGACGGTTCTCGAGATATCCTACTGACAGAGGCATGGATAGGATGAATAGGATGGATCCCTTTGCCATCCTTCTTTGCTCACACATGCCGTTATATGTATACGTTTCAAAACAATATTTTTCATGGAAATCAACCGCAGACGTCACTCACGGGGCCAATAGGTCGTTTTTAGCAACATTTTTTTCTTGATAGGGCTGAATAACGACTTCGAGATATCTTGGTAATGAGGGTTTTCTCGTATGAAAAATCCGCCAGATGGCAATACGTAGACGCGAGGTCCAAATGCTGCATGAATCATGATCAAAAATAACTTATTTTTGACATGACATTGACAGATATGTCAAAATCCACCAATCACGCAGCAGTCAGACCCCACATCCACGTCCCGCCATCTAGCGGATCTTTCATACGCGAAAACCCTCATTGAATAAACTTAAAATCTTTGTAACGTGGAGTCACTTTAAGGCTGTGATCTCCTTTAAACGCCGCAGCTTACTAAAGAAATGTACGAGTACTGTCGTGGTCTCTTTCATACGTTGACGTCGGCGTATGGACGTCGATAGGAACGTTAGGCACTGCCGTTTTACGCCGTGTATAGCGTTTAATAGGAGACTGGAGCTTTTAATAACTTTTATAACCGGACTTTTTAATAGGACGATAGATACTGTGACAGTACAATGTTTGTTTGGATCGAATTTTCAAGCACCTTATTATATCTAGTCTTATTATTTCATTTTCTACTAGCTTTCCGCCCGCGCCTTCGCCCGCGTGGAATTTTGTCTGTCAGTCTGTCACAGAAAAACAATATCGCGCGCGTATTTGCTCACCGTTTAGACCTACCCTGGACTACGACATACATTTTAAAACCAAAATCAGCTCAATCGGCCCAGCCGTTCTCGAGTTTTAATCAGACTAACGAACATCAATTCATTTTTATTTATACAGGGTGTTTCTTGTAAGGTGTCAAGCCGAAGGCAGGTGATAGGTGAGGACTAGACCTATCGATTTCACCCCCATGTATGTTCTACAATTTTTCGTAGTTTAGAAGTTATAGTTAATTTTGTGATTTTTTCAAATTTCATGACCTAGTGGCTTAATTTTTTTTTAATCTTTTTTTTGGGTTGACTTTTCTCAGATTTCTTTTTTTTGACAGATTCCCTATTAGTTGCAGATATTTGAAAAAAATAATCACCTTCCTATCTTTGATGCAAGATACAAAA